CTGCGGCTGTTCGTGGACGGAATGGAGAAAATAAGAAAACTACTTGAGAGAATCAAATTCATCGAACAATAATAGGGCATTAGATTTGGCGCGACTTATGTGGGCTGTTACTGTTCTTGGGCTGGAATATTTATATGGATCCATTGACCAGTAAATTGGGCTCTTAAACACCTTCCCCAATTCCTTTTAAACACTTTTACATTTCTTACATCGAATAATTTTGCAAAATTTTGAGATTTTATTTCCAAGTCATAATCATTTTGAATTTTATTTAGATTTATTATTTTTAAGTTTTATTATTTTCTAATAACACTATCTATATCTAGACCTATTGATCAATTAATCTAAATCGTATCCCGTAGAAGAATATGAAACGACTCTTCCAACTCAATTTTCTCCATTCACAAATCGAGACACCGGAATATATCTCAAAATAATACAACTCTCAGCAGGCATGTTACAAGAAATTCCAACTTCCATCAATTCAACTATAAACAAACGTTTACAACTTCAAATTTCAACGTCTGCAAATCATTTTGGGAAAGAACAAAGGGTGACAAAGAAATCACTTGTTACAAAGTGCAACAGACACACGCATAGGCCAGGTGTACTTGAAAACTCCTTTATTTTCAATGGCCAGACAAATACATGGATTATAACTGTTATTTCCGAATTCTAAATAAGCTGATTACCAAAGTAACCGGAGAGGAAGATGCGAACCACTTTTCCCAAGTCCGCACCATAAGATTGTAATGGCATTCCATGCTGTTTAAAAGCTTAACGACACGATCATATTTGTGGGATGGCTCGATCTGAAGCTTTGCTGCTTCTTGCAGGGAGCATTCCTCCTGGTGAAGAAGATATCAGACATGTTTGCATCAAGCTAGAGTATCAAAAAGGGAACTAAAAGAGTTGCAACCATTAAAAATAGCTTCAAGTTTTGAGAAGCTTAAAGTTACGTCTAGAAGAAGAGCTCTGCTTAACAGTTTCCTGCTTTAATAGTAAAAAATGATGAGGTTTTTCCTGCTTTATCAAATCCCGTCCATTATAACGAGCAAGGAGATTAAGAAATGGTAAAAACCTATGTTATTCAGGTTCTTCATATACACTCGTGTTTGACACATATTTGGACATGGGTATAACAGCAAGATCCTCCAAATATGAGAAAACTTTGAAAAAAGAAATTGGCATACTCGTGTCAGATACACATGTCTCGAGTCCGAGTAACAAGGTAAACATTACTCCAAGAGACCTTTACCACTTCCACCTCAAAAAGTTGAAGAGAATGAAAGACAAAGAGGTAAAACTCAAACCTAGGAATAATAAAATGGCGTTAAGGCCTTTAAAGTTTAACCTGTGTTGCTCCTACACTTCACTTTTCTTCAATCCCAACACAAGTATGGGAATATGAATCTTAACAAACCTTCCAAATACAGGGAAAAAACTAAGAAAATAATGAATAGAACTATGTCAAACACATAAATATATCCAAAACTTACAACATAGTCCGAGTATCAAGGCTTGCTTAACGACCCTTGTCAACTGTATATCATACAGAATCAGCCAAAAATGACTAATGTAAGACAAAATTTATTACTTTATTATTCCACCACAAATGATACTTTGTACAATTCATCTTAGACTCGGAAAACGTTGACACCATGCACGACAAAGCACAATGATAGTTATACAATTGCATAATCATCAACAATTCAAGAACAAGGCTCTTGATGTCCCATTTTGTCTAGCATAGGACTCTGCTAAGAGACTTGAGAGCTAAGCAGAAGATATCTTAGTTGAGAAAATTCGAGATGTTAATAACAGAGTACGAAATTCAAAGCAAAAACTTTACCAGCCAAGCCTTTCCATTGATTCTCACAAAGCAACTGCCAAGCAATGAACAATGGAAGCTTCTCTAGGAACCAAAAGAACAACATCAGACCACTCAATTTCCCCCCATAACTCTCCTGCCTCATCCTTCTTAACCTCGATCTCAGCACATCGAATCTCCATTTCTTTCCCACCTCCATTCTTCGATTCCCATACCACCATCAATTTCCCTCCCAAATTCGCCATTGTACACCGCAAAGAAACCTTGGCAACCCTTTCTCCCAACCTTTCAATTCCTTCCAAGTCCCTTCTTTCACATCGTATCCTCTTATACTCCCCAGGTAATCATAGCAAAACAAAACCCCGTCGATAACGCAGGCTCTCCCTCGCCACCCATTATCCAAATCACTATCCACCGTTGCCCAATTCCCACTTTTAACTTCGTAGCAGACCCCATTCCTATCTGCCATTGCGTAAACTTTCCCATCAATAACAGCGCTCGCATGCATCCATTTATCCCGGATTTCGATCGGACTTGGAACAGAGTTCCATTTCCTCGATTTGGGGTCATAAACTTCAGCCCAATTCTTCGATCGAGCCCAATTATCAACCACGCAGCCGCCGAAGACATAAATTTTATCGTCCACAGCGCCGGCAGCGGCGAACTCGCGGAAACTTGCATATTCGGAGCTGGTTCCCATGTGTGGGTCCGGCAGTCAAGGGACCACACTTGTGAAGGGATATCCTTAATGGAGCCTCCGAGGACGTAAATTTTTTGGTTGAGGGCGGCGAGGGCAGAGCCGACTAAGGAAGGGGAAGGGATAAGAGGGAGAGGAACGAGGGTGTATTTGGGATTTAATGTGTCATTGGGGTTTTGGTACAGTGTGTAGAAGTGTATGAAGTGGCTCGTGTGGAGGCGGAGAGAGATGTAAAGGAAGTGCTCGGCGGATCTGAGGAGGGAACGGGCGGCGTAAAGGAGGCGATGAGATGAGGAATTTCATTGATTTCGAGACTAGTGAAAGGGTTGGGTGGTGGCGTCTTGGGACTCGAGCTATGATGTTTAGAGCCACGTCGTCTGGGAGGGACGGTATCAGCCGTGGAGAAAGCGGCGCGGCGGTGGTGATGGTGGAGTTGATGGTTCGACGGTGGCGGCGGTGGTGCGCTGGAAGAGACATGGTTGATGTCGAGTAGTTGGGGAATTTCGATGGAGATGAAGGAGTAGTTGAGGAACTTTTAACTTTTAACTGTCAGTTGGATTGGACTTTGAGCTTTTGTTGAATATGCTCACTTCTCAATACCCATTACTTGGATTGAAACCCAAACTTGGTACTTAACCCATACGTTCAGAATAAGGAGGATGCATGGAAGTTAATTACTATGTTTGGATAGGTGAAAAATATTTATTTATACGTTCAGAACACAAGCACAAGTCCACATTCAGGCAAATGATTGTTTACAGTACATACAAGACATAAATTTATGAATTATTTACAGTAAAGCATCAAATGGTCGACTTTGCTCATACGCGAACATACAAACAGTATTCTATAGAATGGACACTTCAACTGGGGATGGGGAGTCAGATTTCCGGTCTTTCCGATTTAGTAGCGGATGCATGTATGTTTTAAGGTGGCACGTGTCCACTTTAAAATATAAATTTTTTATGTTGTTGTTCGCTTTACTTATGTACTAACTTTGAAATATTATTGGTCCACACTAAAATTTTATTCGTGTTTATCCCATAAAAAAATTATTATCAGTACATATGTGCTCAACCTAAAAGATATTTCTGGATCATCCACTGATCGATCCAATTTGAAAAATTATAGGTAAGCCATTTGATCTGAAAATTATACATTTCACTCGACCCATATCAGATCCGTCTTTGAGACAAAATCCAAACTTTATTTGATCGGCCAAAAATAATATATTTATTAAAATATTATTTTTATTCAATAAAATAGAGACATGAATCAAGTGGCTTTCGTGGTAAAGCAATTACTATTATTCCTTGATGCCCGGGTTCGAGCATCATAAATGTCAGGGTGTAAATATTGAAAGGTTAGAGTTATATTAAACATATATTTCCTTGTACTTATCCAGATTAATTTAAAAAATAAAATAGAGATTTGATTAAAAAAATATATAGAGAGAGATATTATTTAATTATCATAAATATATAAGATAAAATTATAATTTTAAACAAATCGAGTTAAAGTATTATTCATCCTAAATTCAAATTTGATTTCTTTTAAAAAATTCGACCTGGTCGAATCACTTGGGTTTCAAAAACCCGGTCCAAATGGATCTATTTTTAGGCTAAATTATATGTTTAACTATTAAACTATTATTTTTATTCTGTTATAGTATCTATAACTTTATTTTATTTTAAATCGTACATAATTTTTAGTTTACTCGTTAAAAATTTAATGATGATGTTACGTACATAAAATAATATCATCATCATTGAAAAGTAACAAAACTACTAAATGTGTGTTTCTTTTGTTGTTTTTGTTATGGAACTATATTTTCCATATTTATAAGAACAACCCTACAATACCTCTACTTTTACCGATACGTCTCTATCTTCTTCAAAAAGAAAAATGCCGTGATTTTATTATTACGTTTAAATTAAGAGTATGAACCAATCATCTCGGTGATAAAAAAAATTATTGTTATTTCTTGAGGTCTCGAGTTGAGCACTATAAATATCAAGGTGTAAACATTTAATATCAAGCGATGAATAATTATTTTTAAACATATATCGTAACGAAAAGAAAAGTTTAAATTAAGTAAAGAAATATCCAATACTAACCGGCAAATAAGTAAATTATATATTAAAAATAAAAAGTTACACATCTAAATACAAGAATTCGACTAATTCAATACCAGTAAGTCATGATTGTATATAACTTCATAATAAAAATTTCAGATGAATACTTCATTTAATCCAGTTAACTATGGTGCTTTCATTGGAGTAGAATATCTCAAAATATTACTTTTTAAGGAAAATAACGCTACTCCCTGTATCATCACTGTTCACCGTTTGCGGGCAGCTATGTATTCTTTGGGGGATAAGTTTATTATTTTGCAGATAAATGAATATATAAAATGAACCCTAGCCCTAATTTCTCGTTGCTGTCCCCAATTTAGGTTGCTTCCCTCCCTCCCCGGGAAAATTTCGTGGAAACTGTGCTTCCTTTTGCAGGCAAGTTCATTGACCTCAAAGCTTATTTCTTTCTATGAGATATTTCTAAGGTTAGTGGCTATTGAAATTTCGACTGTTTATGATTTTTTTTCAAGGAAATTTAGCTGGTTGGCAATGGGTTTTCGAAGGAGTTCTGTGATTGATGAATAATTTGCCAACTTTTCATGTAGCGATTGTGATTAGTGCTTTTGCTTAGGGTTTATAGTTTATACCGCAAATATGTTGATTAATGTTTTAGGTGGAATGCATCATCAAACTTACACTAGTTATTGAAAATTTTAGAAGGATTAATGATATACTAGTTTTGGGGAAAATGTCATTGGGCAACTGAATTTTGGATTGTGATGGTGTTTGATTTTGATTCGACCTTCGTTAGAAGTACTATAATGGATAGTTTGGATTTCTATAGACTGTTAATATGCTTCAAAGCATTGGTAGGCTTGCACCGTTAAAGAACATGGTGTTGAAGAAATGGTGACTATCTTCCTTACATTAATTATATTCTTGGTGAAACTCTGAGTTGGTGTGATCTTAAATATTGGGTTGAGATTGCAAGTAGTGTTGTTAATAAGGATAGAGTCCCGACTCGAAAATTCTTCTTACTCCGATTATGTAGTTTGTTGTAGCGTTTCTTTACTGACTCTGTCCTTTTTTGTCTGCATCATTCTATCATACTTTAGGGATATTGGTTCGGGAATAAATACCAACAGAAGGTTCTTTAATAATGGAATATCAGGTTTGTAGAATAACTGAGAGATATTGTGTAGTTCGTGAATGGTCTGAAAAGTTCAGCAGGAGAATGGGGATTGTTTGAAGCAAGGTTATGTGTCAGTATTGCCTGAAAATGTGCGTTTGGATATCCAACAAAATGACCTCAGTGAGTTACTGGATATATGGAACCAGTGGAGTATGGAAGATAAAGAGAGTTTCAGTCAGAAATATGGGGATATAGCACTCCTGATGCCAGTCAAAGTCATGAACCGCTTATCCAAGCTGCAATACAGTTTTGGAACCCAGCTTATAGGTGTTCACCTTCAATTAGGAGGATATGACCCCAACTATAGAAGAGTATACCGCCTTGTTGCGAATAGAGTCAGCAAACCTCTGTAAGATATACTGCAAGCAAGACAAGCCAACATCGCTGAAAAAGTATCTTGCAATGATAACAGGAATGGACACCAAATGCTTCGAAGATCAGATCTTGAAAATAGGGAATAGCAACTGCATCCCATGGAACGCCCTTCGGGAGTTGCTTCAAAATGATCTCGACAGTGAAAAAAGGATAGATATTTTTGCTTTGGCGGTTTATGGTTTGGTGATTTTTCCGAAAACACTAGGGCATGTGGAGGCTGCCGTAGTTGATATGTTTTGGAAATTGAAACAAAATCAATCCCTCTCCGGCAATTTTGGCGGAAACCATTTTATCCCTCAACTATTGTAAGAAGAATGGGGAAGGAAGATTTACTGGGTGTGCACAACTTCTCCACATTTGGATAATGAGCCATTTTTGTAAAAAAGAGAAGGTGCTTCTACGTCCATATTTGAAATCATTAGTATCAATGTCGGATTTTATCAAGAGTGAGTGGTCGGAGAATACCACAGTAGAACAGTGGGTTGCTACTTTCAGAAATCTTAGAAAGGAAGATGTCACATGGAGAGCACCTTGGATGCAACATTCCCCTCTACTATACAGGTGTGGAAATAAGAATTGGGTTCCGCTGCTAGGATTATGGGGTGGTGTCAGTTACGCGCCTTTGATGGTGCAAAGGCAGTTTGGTTTTCAGCAGTTTATACCCGTGACCCATGGGCTAGATCAGTTAGAGTTTCCATATTGGTCTGAAGGTTACATGGGACAAATCCATGAAAGTTTCGTAGCTTGGAAACAAACCTTCTATCTAGAGGCAACCAAATACACGGATGGGCTCACCCCAAATTATGAGATATGGAGAGCACAAAGAGTAAACGATAAGATAGTAATGCCCCTGGATCTACAGTTGAGAGCAGTACAGTTAGAGTTGAATTTTGTGAGGCAGCAATCTGAGCATGAGAAGCTAGGTTGAATGAAGAGATTGCTAGACTACAAGAAGAAAATCGTCAGGTAAAGGGGAAGAGAAAAAATGATACGTCAAAGGATGACTTAGGAGAGTTTCAGTTTGAGAACAAGAAACTTCACCTTACCACGGAGGACACCAGGTTAGGCAAATCACTTAAGGACTGGGAAAAGGAGATTAGTGATCTTAAGGGAGAGAGGGAGTTCTGGAAGAACAAGTCAATGAAAGATGAGGAGAAGGTTGTGGGGCTCTCCCAAGAGGTACAGACATGGGAAGTCGTCTGTTCGGCTGTCATTGATAGGCTCACCGAAAGCCAAAGGGAAAATGAAGATCTGAGGGCCCTATTTGAAGTGGAGAAGGAGACTTTGTTGGAGAGAATCCGGGACTTGGAATGTTCTGTACAGGGCCACAAGGATCGTTTGATTCTCTCTGATGACTTTGGACGATAAAGACAGAGAGTGGCAGAACAAACTACATGTGTCGGAGGAAGCTTGCTGTGAGAAGAGCATTGACCGCTTGGTTTCTCAGATCCGTGGAGTAGTTCGAAGGGTGACTGATGTGTCTGTAGCTTCTGAAGCTATGAAACAAGAGATCAGTCAATCCGGGAAACATGGGCAGATGTGCTGACATTCTTGGAAGAAGTAAAGAAACAGTGTGATCATGTTAGACGTTTTAGTGATTGATGAAAGCTGGTTTTGTTGAGGCTATTCCCTACAGAAAGAACAGGGGCTGTATAAGTCAAAATTAAGCATATAAACGTATATGCATGTATATATGTAGCGCGAGGGAATAGATTGCCAGGAATTTAAGGATTCAGATAATTTGGTAAAAGCACATTCAGCGGTTTCACTTTTGTTAGGTTTAGAGCTGAAAATTTTCTTCTTTGTTCCATTTTCTTCTTATCTTCTACTTCTTCCCCCTTCCATTTGCAGCTCCGTCTACCACTGCTTCATCTTTTTATTATAGCAAAATATATACAAAATTTTCACACTTAGTAAATTAACTGCTAGATCTAAATCATGTTTTGATTTCGTTTGAACATTTCTCGAGAATGTCTTGGTCGATTACAACCGGGATAAGTAATGGTCCATGGCCCAAGTGCCAACTGGTGCTTCTCTACCACTGCTGGGTTTTTCTTTTCTTTACTTCCTTTCTTCTTCTTCTCGTCCAGTCATCAAGTGTCCGACGAGTCCGACCATATCCATTGCCCTTATCCTTGTAGTGTCAACATGGATGCAGCTCCCATTTTGATGAATCGGAGTAAATGAGGTTTTAAATTCATGCGTTCAATGAGCTTACCACTCTTTTCAATTGATATTGTGATATTTTATAAATAAATATATATATATATTCTAATATGTATGATGCTGTAGGGATTAAAAGGCAAGGAGAATGAAAGACCTATTTGATGATGATCAAAGCCTTCCGGCCTAGCTTAGTTGTAATGTGAACAATCATTTTTATACCAAACACGGTTTATTGTAAGCATGTGATGATTTGGTTTTGATTCCACAACTAAACACCTTCGTGGGGATCTTCATTGTGACCATATTAACAAAAAAGAGAGTGTCTTTTATAGGGTGGAAAACCCTGAAAGAATCATTTAAGATGGCAGAGTACATTATTATGAAAATGCGGCAGCATCTCAATCGCTGAACTCTGTCCTCAAGTTTTAGACATTAGAAAAAAAAATAAAAAACTGCACAGAAAAAAGATTAAACACGTGTCCTTCTCATATAGCAACTTCGATGACCAATCATGCAACTCGTTCTTCGGGCGAATCTGAGCGGATAGCTGATATCAAAGCAACAGGTTCAGAACAAAAACCATTAACCGATTCCAGCACAACAGGTTTGATGGGAAATTAATCACAATTAGAAGGGGCACAGCATAAAACATTTGATTGATCGATCAAAAATAACAAGGAAATTGTACAGAAATGAAAACCCAGATCTGATTATGGAAAAGAAGAGAGAGAGAGAGAGAGAGAGACATACTGGGCTTCTCAGGCTTTCCATCGGTCTACTTAGAGATGGAGAAATGGACTTTCTCACGAGAAAGGGCTTCAGTCTTATAAGGTTCCTTCAAGCAGTTTCTGACGAGGTTGGCGCATATTGGAGCAGGTGATGTATGTCATCCCCGCCGCATGCCAGAACGGCACCGCCGCGTTCGACGCCATTTTCTTTGGTGGCCGCTAAAACTACAAACAGTGGAGAAAATATAAGAGATCTTCTTCACTCTTCAGCAACAGATGGCCGAACGGGTTCATTTCATATCTTTGCTTTTGGGCTTCCGGGCCTTCTCCATTTTAATTCTGTTTAGCTCGGTTCTTGATTACTACTAATATTGGATTTTGACTTTTTAGGGTAAACTACAAGTTTAGTACCCAACTATCAATTTTGTTACGTTTTAGTCACTTAACTATTTTTTTTTAAAATTATACATATTTTTTTATTTTATTTGGGTCATTCATCATTAAAAACTAATGGTAATTATGATGTGACACCATAAAATAATGTCATATTATCATTAGAAAAACTAAAAATGTCACATTAATAGTTGTTAACTTTTCAATGGCAGTTTATCAAAATGAAACTAAATTTAAACGTTGTGTATAATTTTAAAAAAGAACAAAAATGATAGTTTAAATACTAAATGCATAGCTCACCCTTTTATCTACATCGATTAAAGATATTTTATAAAAGTATTTTTGTATAATCTTTTTAAGATTTGATATATTAAATATTTGTTTTAAATAAAAAATGTAAGCAATAATTAATTAAAAAATAAAATAAAATTTAATATAAATTAAATAACTATAATTTTAAACTTTTAAATCATAAATTATTTAAATATTATGACATTATTTCATTCACCGATATAATAACAATAAATAGGGGAACAAAATCAATATTAAACTTCGGGAAGGGCAAATTAACAAAGACACGTGATTCTTGTCCGATTGATATTAAACTTAATTGTTTGCTTTATCATTTATT